TTTTTTAAAAAAAAAAAAAAAAAAATACATTTTTTTTTTTTTTTTATAGTATTAAAATGATGTAACTATATGAAAGTGTTTTAAAAATAGGAAAACACAACAGAAAACAACAATATTATAAAGTTGTTAAATATATATTTTGTGAACAAATTTAAATCATTTTAAAAAAAAAGAATAAAAAAGAGTTACAAATTTTATTCAATTAATAATCAAAAAAAATACAAAGAATTATTATAGATTATTATAATAATGCACAACTAAAATATATAAAGATTTTTTATGTATTCAATATAATATTTTTAATTGTATATATTTAATAGTAAAATTGGATATATTTTTATAAATTTTTCATTAATCATTTTTTTCTTCATTTCTAAATATATTTTAATAGTAATAACACATTAACAAAAAATAAAAATATTTATTTAAATAAATTTTTTTTAGAACTTTATGATAATGTGCTTTATTTTAAATCTTTATAACACATACTAAATTGACATATAACTATTATATAAGCATTCAAATTTTCTCGAAAAAAAAAAAAATATATATATATATATATATATTAAAATAGGTGTAATATAAATTAAATATTTTTAAATAAAAGGAAAAGAATAAAAATGAATTTTTATTAAGTTCATTTATGAGTTTTTTTTTTCTTTTTTATTAAAGAATTTCAAATTATAAATTTTTCTAAAAAAATAAAAATATATTCATATATTTTTAAAAAATTGGAAAAAGGAAAAAAAAAAAATGATTAATATAATTATATGTTAGTTATTAAGTATTTATAAAAATATACAAAATATAAATTTTTTTTTCATATTTTATCTTTAATTTTATATAATTGAAAAAGTAACTTCATTTTAAAAATTTCGTAAATTTTATATGTAAAAATAATATAGCATTCAAAATACGTATCCTTAATTTTTGTTATCATCGAATTTTATTTAAAGTGTGAAAATTTTCATAAAATCAAGTTCTAAAAATAACATACTACAAGTATACATATTAATTCATAGTTTTGAATAAATAAATTGGTATTCATAAAAACTACAACTTTTATATTTACTTTATGAAAAAACTATAATTATATTAGATTATCCTAATTAAATGTACAGTTAGTTATTATTAATTTACATATTTTTTTTATGTGTAACTTTTCCTTCTTGAATTTCTGAAGGATATAACGTGAATTCATTGGTTATAATAAATAACTAAAATATTCTTTTAAAAAGAATAAAAAGTTTTGTTCAGATAAAGATTTTTTTTTTTTTTATTATTTAAAATTATAAATCTACATTATTCAAAAAAAAGTTGTAATAATTATTAAGAATAAAATACACTGTTATATTAAATCACACACATATAAAAAAAAAATTAAAATTAGTGTGTCTTAAAAATTGTTTACTTTTATTTTTTTTTGCACGCATTTTTTACAAGTATACTTGAGTACAAATATAGAAATATAATGTTTGATTAAGTGTTTAAATACTCTTAAAAAAATAAAAAAAATAAATAAAGGAAAATATAAATTCTTAAATTTAAAAGATCTTATTTTATTCTATACCTTTTTTTTTTTTTTTATTAAATCTAAATCATTTATTTTATAACAACATATTTTTACTATTAATAAACAAAAAACAAAAACATTTCTATTTTTTAAGATAAAACTCATAGAAATAATATGAAATTAATTATTTAAATAGGAAATAACTAAAATGAAAAAAATTATTTTTTTTTTTTTTTTATATATATATATATATATTCATGTAATTAGACTATAGAATAAGTATGATTTGCAATCATATACTTAATTTAAAGGAAAAAAAAAAAAAATTGTCTATTGAAAGTTCTATATTAATAAATATCATTTTTATGATGAAATTATAACATAAAAATAAAATAAACCTTAAAATTTTTTCCTTAATATTATGAATTTACAATATATAATTTTTATAAATTTATCTGGACATTTTTCATTATGCATCTCATCATTATTCAATTTTTTTTTTTTTTTTTTTTTTTTTTTGGTAAAAACGACTATTTGAAAATAAAAAAAAAAAAGAAATCAGATGATAATTTAGTTATTATTTTAATTTTTTCAAAAAAAAGTTGTCTAAAAAATTTGTCTACAAAAAATTTATATACTTTTAACTAGATATTAAAAATAATAAATCAATTTTTAAATGTCCTTTTTTTTTTTTTTTTTTTTTTAA